AAAATCATGTATGAGAATTGCGGGGTGAAGAAGTTTATAACGCACCAATTCAACAACCTGCTGTTAGTTGGTTTGTTACATGTAGCTCAGTAATATTGGTAGAGTGCTGCAGCTGTATCATAGAGGTTAAGGGTTCGAATCTCGTACAGGCATGAATTTTTTCAGGCTTTCTTTCCACAACTGCAAAAGCTGTAGCCTGCATAACAGGTGCTTCATGACCCAACTGAAGTGAATGAAGCATTTTGCGTGAAGTGCGAAACGAATGTGAAGCATGAGACGAGGGGAGGTGAAAAATAAAGTGCCTGTTATGCATGGTTCAATTTTACTTGTTACCATCCCCCCCCCCGCCTCCCCGGGCAACCCCCCGGACAGGTCCAGCCCTTCGGGCCCAGGGGTGGGGAATTGTTTGAAGCAGTCCTGTCCAGGGGGCAGGGGGTTCTCTTTGATTTTGTGAAGTAGGTGCTATTTCTCACACAGTTTAGACGATGGCTGCTGACCTCAAGACTGCACATTTTTGAGCAAAAATGCAGGAATTTGGCGGAGAGTGGTTGGAGAGGAGTAACTTATCAAAATTGAAGTCTGTATTTAAAGGTATGTTTTAAAATTTGAAATGAATGTGTGCATGATGCGTACTCGAATGGATTTTATTTTTTTGGAAAGCAAGGACAGAAAAATTTCTTCAGCTCAGCTTTAAATAGTTTTTATATGAAAATGAATACAAGGCTTTTGATACATAGAGAGAAAGAGAGATTTGGTCCAGTCTTCCGATGAAGTGTTCTGTCAAGGAGGCCCTTTTTAAAGAGTTTTTCTTCTTCGTTTTCATTTTTTCAGGAAAAAAACTCTCGATTAACTCAGGAAAACATTCATAAAAGTTATTAAAACATGTCATTTTCCTTTTGTACGAATCAAAAAGATGTAGCAAAAAATGTATATGTGGTCGTCGATCAGGAGCTCGGGAGTGGGGAATTGTCTCTTTCTGCGTACCCAGCGGTGGGGAATAGACCTCCCATAAAAAAAAAAATTGCAAATCCCAGGGGGTGTACCTGGAAAGGGAGGGGGGTGCATGGTTTCAAGTAAAATTGAACCATGCATTACGAGTCCATTGTTCTGGCTCTTCCACCCACCTACGCCCACAAGTATTGACTGACAGCAGAAAATGCCACGTTCACCTCACTTGGCTCACAAAGCACCTGTTATGCAGGTTACAAAAGTTGCGTCTATAACTGTGATGGTCTTCTTTCATATAATTCTTCACCCCGCAGTTCTCATACATGTTTTTCCTAATTCATAACTTCACTATCAATTTTATTACCCTGTTTAGAAAAAATGACAAAATGAACTCTGTTTTGTTTTGTTGGCAATTGCAATGAGAAAATTCACATTATAGTCATTGCTTCTGTATACTTGAGCACTGACAAATTTCATAAAACAAAGCAACCCAATCATGCAGGCAATACCCTGTTTGCACTTGACAGCCTGACACAAAATTATATACCTTACTTATGACAGACTCACGCAAAAAAAAAATACCCTGTTTAGGACAGAGAGGACAGAAACCGTATCCTGTTCAGTCTGTTAAGAATTCCATAAGTTATAGGTCTACCGCTCACAAATAAATTTAAGTTCCTGAAAACTGGACTCAAGCAAATAGCCTGTGAGCAAGCTCTCTGGGTTTCTCTGGCGGTGAGGTGGGAAAGGGAAGGAGAGCTTGCAACTACATCTCTGGAGTTTAAAGTTCACCTCCAATTCCCCTGGGGCTCTCCGTCAACTGAACTTTCAGATTTTGGCCGATCAGCGTGAAGCAGAAACGAGTGCAAATGTAAAAAAACATTGAAGAACATGTGCCAAGGGTAATGACGCCATTACTTATGTCATCTCCACCAATCAGCATTTCATATTGACTTTTTTGAAGCAGATATTCAAATTCCAGAGATGTAGTTGCAAGCTCTCCTTCCTTTTCCCTCCCCACTGTCAGAGCAACCTGGAGGGCTTCCTTGCAAGTTATCAAGCAAATTGCAACTTATCTCTGAGCAACTGCAGAATACTCAGCCCACTTAATCTCCTACTAGCAAAACTGCTCCCCGCAGTCCCGCAGTTGTGATCTATTTGGCCGAATACTAATCTAAGTGAATAAAATGAGTGCTCCTGCAGTCCTGCACTCCCGCCTTCACCAAAAAGTGAATAATGAGTGGGTATACAACTACTGTTCTTGAGTCCCGTACTCCTGCAGTCGATGTCAAGTAACTGGAGTGCTTATTGAACGAGGTATACCAGTGCTCCCCAGGGGCGGATCCAGGATTTTTTTTAGGAGGGGGTGCACTCGTCTCTTGCTCTACTTCAACACCAATAAACCACATAGTTTTTTTTTTTTTTTTTACACTCCCGCATTTAATGTCAGAATTTATTACGCAAATCGGACGACTGCGAGACTGCGGGTGCAGTTTTTTAAGTTAGATATTAAGTGGGCCAGGTATTCTGCATTCTAACCCTCATGGAGCCGCTTAGTCTAAGCTTCTGCTTATAGGCTCACATGTATATAAGGTCTTGTAGTTCATTTGGCTCTGCCCGCGCGATTGCATGCAAACAGACGAGCAGGTACTCTTTTTATGGGTGGTTAAAATTGACCCCGTATTATGCACGAAAAGTCAGTGGAAAACTAGCCATTTATACACGTATGTGTAAACCTAACAATATTGATTAGATTTTGTAGAGCTACAAGCTAAATGGCCCCGTGAACAAGTCAGTATGAACACGTGCGTCCCCGTCGATTTTTACCCAATTTGTTTACTGTGTCCGGCCATTTCTCCAAGTACATAAGTCACTCTTCTACATAACAATGCCGCAATGAAAAGCTTCTTACCTTTGGGGATAAAATTTTGTCGCTCTCGATGAAATCACGACTCAAGAAAGATCAAGAAACGCGAATAGACCATCAAATCCACAACGCCTGCCGCGTCCTCCCGCGGACGCGCGTATCAAACACACTTGTCAGCGGTTGCTTGTTTCAGTGGTGGGGTACCTGGTGTGTGAGGTCATAGAGAGTACCGTCATGCACATAGTTAGAATTAGCCTGCGTAGCAAGCGTTTCCAATCGAGTTGTTGCGCGGAGACGCTTGCTACACAGGCTAAACCAAGATTTACAAACCGCTTAATTCAGTGTTGATCAGGCTTAGGACTTCTACTGAACGGGTTGCAGGCATTCAAAAGCTCCAAAATTTAAAAACCTTTGAAAGCAGAGGTCCACTCAATGCGTAAACAAATCAGCCCTCTGCCGTATTGCCAGCCTTGCATTCAGTTTTGTTTTAATTTCCAAAATTAACATGTCCCGGATATCCCCTCTTTACAGTAACTTTTCAAGTTTTAAATAGCCACTATTAAAGGGATACCATTTTCCATGGAAGACATACGAAAGGGTAACGTTTCTGTCAAAAATGGTATGTAAGAGGAAAAAGGGTGGCAGTTCGGGCCTCCTCATATGAGACTTAAGTAAAATCCAACAAGTGGTCTGTTATCAATGCTGCATTCTGATTGGTTGAGCAACTACTAGGCTAGCCCACTAGTAGTGAAAAGCGCCAGCTTTGAAAACAAAAACAATGGCGGCTGAATCTCGTTTTACAAGCTAAAGTTGTTTTGTCTCGATATTTTTGACCAACTAATTGGATTTTACTAAAACAATTATTCCTCTTGCCCTCATGGCCTCTGAGTCAATAGCCCATTTGGGCTCGAGGAATAATTGTAAAATATTGAGTAGTGCCCCGCGCTGGTGAGGAACGACCAATGGTAGCATCCGAGAACAGAAGCGGGCTCAAGTTGTCAAAGGGATGGAAGCGGGTTTGTTAAATTATTGGTGAACCCCAATTCTGCTCACCCCAATTTTCCCTTCCTTTTTTGGACTACTTAGGGCATTGATACTTGAAGATGAAAACTCCACTTATACTAATGAGTTAACTTCCTATTTTTAACAAATTTATTTCGTAGGCCCATACATTTGAAGAACATCTAAAAAATTTAAATGGTACACAGTTTTGGAAATAGCTCCAACGCAGCCAACGGGCTTGCAGCTAATCCAAGAATCACGGCAACTTAACCTGTCAATGCATTCGAGTAGTCTAAGTACAGGTTCCGGGGGGGTGTACTCTCCTATAAAAGTGACGGGGGCACTCGTCGTACCTTTTAGGGGCTTAAATTTGTGGTCACACTAAGGGCGCTAAAACCTAAAATGACTGATTAGGAGAAAGATTTATGATAATACTTTCAAAAAGTCCCTGAGAAGAAAGTGTTCGAAAGTTGTCTTCATTACTATTAAAATTTGCAGTGCCAGTTATATGATTTGTTGTTGTTGAATTGGTACCTCTTAGAGGTGGAAATGAATTTGGGACACGACCATATAACAAGATTCTGATACCTTTTAGGGGTGTTCTCGAAATTTTCCGAAGAGCACCCCCCGTCACTTTTATAGGGGAGTACCCCCCGGGTACAGGTTAGTACCTATAGAGGGTGAGTCTCACTGAATTCAACACTGCTGAGTACTTCATATCATCAGTGCATAATTATTGAAATTTCAAAAAAGTAAATACTACTTGAACACACTTTACAAAAAATAATTATGCTACTATACTTATCTAGATTTAAAAAAAATCGATGTGATAGTCTTATTACTAGTTCTCAGTTATTCCAACTTGATTTCTCAAGAAGCTGATTCGATTTTTATCGACAGTGATAGGAATTATCGATCCTGCCCCTACATCATCATTACAGGTGAGCTTCTAGTTGTTAAGTTCGACATAAAGTAGTTCAATTTAAAATGCAGCTTTAAAATGGCTTATCCAGTCGTGTTTAGTGAAGTGTGTCTTCCAACTGTTAGTTTTGTACATCAGTCAAATCCGACCCCCGGGCCACGCAAAATTTGCTGATGCTCCACCCCCGGGACTGACAAGGTAGGCAAATGCCGCGCAGTGGCCCAGGGTCGGGGCTGGGCGCAGTTGGATTTGATTGATACATTACACAACGATGACCTTTCGATTGGCATCTTTGTCTTGAAAAGAGAGAGCAATGTGACCCTCCATGGTCACTGAAACTCCATATAGAAAAGAAAGCAGCGCACTGAAGATAACTTCTTCATCTAATTGAATTTTCTGTACATACGCGCCATCGGCAGTGTATATAGCCAACCTCAGGAGGTGTGGTGACTCTCTTGCACAACCAGCAACGACGACATGTTCGCCTGTCGGGTGACATGCAATGGAATGATAGTAATCCCCTCTGATTCCGATGTTAAATTTGGTAAGCTGTCGTCCCTCAACAGTGAATACGTAAACGCAGGAATCATATTGGTTTGGATGATCCACTATCATGACGTGACCATCACAAGTAGCAGTGATATCTGTTGGCGACGTCCACACACCTTCACCAAATGTGCCAAGAGACTCACCACTCAGCTCGTAGACATCAACAACTTTCTCATCACTATCTAGTCCAACAATCAACAACAGCAATTTGCTACTGGTCACTGTTAGTTTGGCCAAGGGCGTTAGTCCTAGGCTTCTCACAGAAACAGTGTGCAGCAGGTTACCGGTCTTGTTAAAAACCTGCACTTCCAAAAGTCTTTCACACGCTGCAAACGCATCAAATTTCCCAGTTGACGGGTCTATTTGCTCTTGTTCAACCAGTAAATAGATCTTCCCGTCCATGTCTGCATGCGCACTGCCAATATCTATAATTCTGGACTTTGTAAAGAGATTATGCTTTTCAGGAAAAAAGCTAAGATAGAAATTTCCTTTGTTATCGAACACCTTCACGGGAGGACCCCACAGGTCTACTATCAGGAAATGTCCCTGGGCGCTTGTAGCGATGCGGCAAGGCTCATGCATCTCTGTACTGTCCTGACCCAATGACCATGGTACAGAGCAGTTCTCCATGCCGTATTTCTTCAGCACTTTAGCAATCGCAATACTTTCATTACGGAGCGGACTGACTTCTTTCTCTCCAATATCAACACAAGGCCAGTTTTCTAGGTTATGGCGGCCAAAATCGACTATTAACGTGACATCGTAGACAGCGCGATTGATGAGACATACCGTTGAAATAAGTTTCCCGCGTTCGTCTTTACTCAACCAAGCCCTGAAGCCCCTCTTAAGCTCTACTTTGAAGCATTCTTTTATACCAGGCAAACAGTGAAGTTCTTTAATACACAGTCCGCAGGCCGCCATTGCGTCTGCAGGATTGTCCACAGTTTCTAGTATCGTCGACATAACCCGATATTGCATTGCTAGCACGCGGTCAGATAGTACCAAGGCTTCATTTGCAAACGCGTCAGTAGCTCTTTCACGGGCACGTTCGAACCTCTTTTTCGCATTGGTAAGCTTCCTTGAAGCTGCTTCATCGAGACCAGTAAGCGTCAGCTGTCTCAGTCCTCCAGTCAGACCCCATGGTTCAGCATCAGCTGACCCAACTGCTCCTTGTGATGTTACTGAGCTGTAATCACTTGAGAAATCGAATCTGGCCTTTTCAAACACTTCGTACAGCAGCACAATTCCTTCCTCAAAAAAGCTGATACTTGCCAACAAATCCTTTCTTGCTAAACCATCTAATTTCTTCCTTATTTCGTCAATTTCACGGACGATCATGCCTCGGAATTTCTGATCTGTAAGATCGCCTTCATCCAACTTTTCGGCCAGTTTGTCCCTTCCCTTTTTCACCACCAGGCCGATAGTGGCTTTAAATACGGCAGTTATTAGTGAGGACATGCTGAATGCTTCTTTGGCGGTGATAAAGGTCTTAGCCTGCACTGGTTTCTGACTGACTAAGTATTGTTTGCAGCAGGTTAGACAGAGCAGACGATTTTACGTGCAGGAATTTAGCAGATCTGACATGACCTTTGAGTTTATTTTCATCATCTTACCCGGGGGGGGGGGTACTTTAGGAATTTCTGGGTGGTGATGTGCCGCTGGGACCATGGAACCCTTAACCTATACCAGAGCTAGTTCAGCTGAATTTTGCTACCCTATACTAGAGTAAACTCCCAAAATCCCCCTATCCTAGAGTAGCTGTTTGCCTAGTCTAGATAAAATCTTCAACCAACTGATCAGTTTCCTGAAAAATGATACCCTATTCTAGACCCAGACGCTCTGATTTACATACCCTATCCTAGAGTAAACTGCCTGAAAAATGAAATTTCTGGCGATTGAGTCGCTACGAATTAGCCTGAAATTAAATATTTCTGCGGCACGGGAGCAGCAGGCCGTGGGCCTGGGTCTTTTTAATGTAGTTGCATCATGGGTAATGGCGTGTGAGTATTTAAGCTCGGGATTGCACGTGGGCAATCATTCTAGGCCGACACCACTCACTATAATTTTTTATTTATTCCGTTCTCCTACCATGGAGCGGTCTGAAGTTCTTAACATCGTGGATACGGCGATTGCCAGGAACAACGACAGTCTTGTCGATTCGATGAAACGCATTCTAAATGAGTCTTTATCCGATATCAAGAGAGCCAATTCCGAGTCTGCTGACTCCCATCTCAGGGAAATAAAGAAGCTGAAGTTTGAGGAGCCACGGCGCTTTAAAAAGAAGGCGAACGAGGACCAGTACAGATTTAATTCGAA